GCGCGCAGCCGCAGGACGAACCGGAACGGAAACCTCCCCCAGAGTAAACGAATAGCGGTTTTCTCAGGTTAGTTTTAGCCCACATCAGTCTCGTCAGCGGGTCCCTCACGGAAGCGTGTGTGCTTTTCCAGGAGAGGGGGGTGAAGGGAGCGGAGCGATGGCTCTCGGTTGCCTTCTGGCTGGCGCTGTGCGCTGGGGAGCGGTAGCCCAGGTGGCCTCCGTGGGCACTGTAACGTGGCCACGAGTCAGTCCGGACTGTGTCCCCCGGGCCCTCGAGCAGCGGGTCCGCTGGCGTTTGGTCACTGTGTGATCGACGGTGCTCTCTGCGTTGAAGGGGAATGCATAAACCCAACCCGGTTTTCTTTCTGCTGTAGCCTACACGTTAACCTCACAGCGATGGTACGGGGAAGACAGCTGTTCCGCTTCGCAAATCTCTCTGTTCAGAAAGCGGGACAGCTGTGAACAAGTAGATGACTCCTGGAAGACGGGGAGATACTCTAATCATGGTTAACTGTTAGAAATAAAGCCTACCTGTGACCTTGCACGCTGACCTGAGTAAGGTGAGGAGCCTGGAAGCGTCGGCGACGGAGGCAGCTGTGAGGCAGCGTCCTGCTGGTGGTTCGTGCTGCTCGGGTTTGGTCTGTGCCCAACACCTGCTTCTCCTGTGGGATGCGCGCCTCAGTCTTCAAACATACTTTGTGTGGCATCTTCCAGCCCCAGCTTGCTTTGGTAATGTGCCCTGAGCATGTTCTCAGTACTCAACTGCAAAGAAAATACTACTTTACTTAAAATTCAGCAACTCTGAGGAATGTCTTAACGTCACAAACTAAAACTAAAGCAACATAACAAGAAATGAGGAATTTGTAACTCATGAAAAATTTTAAAAGTGTTGCTTCTTTGGGGTTGAAGTCTTCAGACTTGGTGCAAAATCTTGTGTTTACAGAAAAAGTTAAAATCGTCACCTTTTGTACTGAGAGAACATTTCTTCTTTGTCCCATGCTCTGTCACTAGTGCTTTAAAAAAAAAAAAGGGTTGATTTGAGTCCTGCTGTCGCTGCTGCTGCTTGTGATTCTCCTCTACCCCATTTCCCAGCTGTCTTGTTTGAATGAGTTCCTCTTCTTCTGTCACACTTTAGACTTGCTGCATTGGCTTATCAAGCTGGCCCGTCGATTCTCCGTCATCTGACTGCCTTTCTCTTGGCACCTTAAATTCATCCTGTGACTGTGTGGTTTTAGCACCTTCATTTAGAATTTTCTCCTCCTTGATTGCTAAATGTTAATGTATGCTGCTCTAGGAGAAAGTATTTAACGGGCAAGGGAAACTTCTTGTTAGACTTTGTGTTCAATAGTTGTAATTTCTGATGCTAGCAAGTGTTGCTACTCTTGTGCTTCTAGACTGGCCAATTTTTATTGCCATTTATATTAACTATTATTCCTTTTTAAGCTGGTTAATACAATCTCACTAAATCATAGTTTTCGTAGTTTAAATATTAGGAATATTTTCACAAATTATGTTCTGAAGATTTGGATTGTCTTTCTGGTATTTTAAATAACACCAAGTTCTGAACACGTAATATCTAGTGCAATGGTGGGGCATTAAGGCCATGATAAGCTTTATCAGTTTTACTGTAGGTGAAGAACCACTTGGGAGTAGATTTATTTTTTGGGTATTCAGGGAGGTTCACTGTTTCTCTTTGAGCATACACTGGGAGACAGTTACTTCTAGTCAGTCATATTTTGGTACAGTGGTTTGAATGCTGATACAGCATCAATAATCTTGAAAGGGCTGAGCCGTATATCTGCTAAGGTAATAAAGATAGGTTTCCAGGTGTGTATTAAGTCTTCTTGTAGTGTGTTCGGCCTTTAGTCTTGGAGGAAAATCCACTAAAAGCTCATAATATACTGCATCTTAGCAATTTGGTTGAAATTGTTCTCATTGGAAAAAGGCCCAACAGATTTGCAAAAGCTGAATTGGGAAGTTTTGCTATCAGAATAATTAACCTTGTGGTACTTGTGTACTGGTTTTGAAATGTCTGTAAACTAATGGCGATTTTTTTTTTGGTGAGCTGTCTGACCAAGGAAGTGGATGACTTCAGT